GGTTCTTATTCTATATAGTAGATTAAGGGAATTGTAATGAACATTGAACAGTAAGGATTGTTATTTAAAGAGAATCAAGAATAAGCTAAGCCAAGATATGGAAAAATGGAGAGGGAACATGAAATATATTTACAATGGGAAATTATTGAGATTACAAAGACAGAATCACAAATTTGGGGCATGTAAGGATGCATAATTATATAAATATAATGATGAGAATAGCTGGGAATTGTAACCAAGTCTACATCTCGCCCAAAAATAGGCTGGTGTGTGTGTGTTGAAATACAATTACTATATAGGTATACTTCTTTTTTTCTCTCTTTTAAAAAAAGTAGAAAGATATATGTTAAAATTAAATATGTATATTGAAAAGGAATTATAAATACCATCAATATAAAATGGAGCTCACTCAGAGGCTGAAATACACCAAGTAAATGAGATGAAGAGTATGAAGTAGAGGAGAGAGGTAAGGGAAGGAGAGAGGGAGAGGAGAGATGGCAGGGGCGGGAGAGGAGGAGAGAAAGAAGGAATGGAAAGGGAGAGAGGAGAAGGAGAGAGGAAGAGAAGGACGACAGAGGAAAGAAAGGAGGTAGGGAGGAGAAGGAGAGAGGGAGAAGAAAGTGATGGATAAGGTACAAATATGGTGTATGAAGAGCAGAAGAGCCAATAATTGTTTTTGGGAGTTGATGGTAAGACGAATGGATGTAAACAGTTTATAATATAATAAGATGTTGGTTATGTAATAGTATACATGTGGCTATATGTTATGAAAATGAAAAAATAAAAAACTTTATATAAACACTGTCTGAAACATAACTAATAATATCATATACTGTAAGTATACATCATCTTATATCAGCATCGTAAAGATACTGTTTTCAACTAATTGCAGTATGAAAGTTGAGGTCATTGTAAATTAATTTATGTAAGGAATTCCTGCAGACTAGAACACACTATGTACCAACCATTCAATTTTCATTTATCATGAGTCAGAACAGCATGTGGCTTTTCTTAAACAACATACCAAGCAAGTAAAAAGTAGTGGACAAGGACTAAAAACCCTTGAGCCGTATAAAAATAATAGGCAAGTGAAAAAACATACATATAATAACAAATTTGCTTCTGAAAATATTTCCATTCAAGCACATTGCTATAACTGAGTTGTCGCAGTTGTTTCTGCCAGTTTTAACTCAAATATAAAATGGAAGTCAAAAAATGGTGACATTTCAGTATCTTCAAAACTCACACATTTTCAAGATGATTTATGAACCAAATTTTATTGATTAATCATACTATACGCATGTTTTGTTTTATATTCTTCTCAAGTTTGTTAGATTTTTATCAGCGTATCTCAACCTATTGAATCAAAACTTCATTCTAAGTACAACACATTTCAAATACTACACAAAGTTTCATTATACGGAAATGAATTAACACTATTTCTAATTATAAATATTATATCCTGTTTCTTATATCACACATTTATATTAAACGTCATATTTCTGCCTTTATAAACTGATAAATGTATGGTGAACATTTTATAAATAAAGCAATTAAATCATCCTATTCTAACGTACTCTATTTTTATCATTTTATTAGTGGGTTTGGAGATCCATATTCCTCAAAGAAAAATTACACTGGGAAATAAATAAATCACTGTATTTTTAAAACATTAAACATGTCTACATCTCCATGCTAGAAATCATATCATGAAGTTATTACTCTTCAGTTTCTTTTGCCAAGCCTTTTAGCAAAAATATCAAATTCAGTTTAAGTACAATGATTGTTTGGAAATCCAATAAAGTTAACAGGGGAATGAAGAGATGAAACAGAAATGTTCTTCTCTTTTTATTACTTTCCTTAAAGTACAGATGGTCATATCGGCTTGGATCCCAATAGACAATTGTGTATAACCAGTGACATTCAGGAAAGAATTGTTGACTTTCATTATTAACAGCTTTAATTAAAAAAAATGTATCATACTACATATAGTTCCAGAAGGGTCCTGAAGCCACAAAAGAGATTGTGAGGATGGGAGGAAGAGCGAAAATGAGAAAGAATATGTTAATACATCTACAGAATTCAGCTTACTTGCATGGAGTAACTGCCACTAATTCACTTAATATACAAAAGTTTGACAAGCAAGTTTAACGTGCAAATAACTTAATAAATCTCAGAGGGGAAAACACAAATTTGTTTTCCCCTTCTCAGCCATTCCAATATTTTGCAACAGAAGTCATGATCCAACTAAACACAGTACTGTAATTAGATATTAACATTTCTAACTAAGGCAACATCCATCAAAACTACCCAGGTATTTAAGTCAAAACTTTTATTCCTGCAGATCAAGACATAAATATAGGAATTATTTAACAAGTTTATATGTGAGTTTGTATGAATTTTTAAACCTGCTTTAATTGTTACATCTTTTAAATCTATGAAGCCCTATGAAGTAAATACTGCATTTCCTTAGAAATAGAGCTGAACATCAAACATGTTTTTCTAAATTTATAAGAAGAAAAAAGATCAGATATAACTTTTACATAGCCCATAGATCTTTCAGTTCAACTTCCAGTTCATAAAAATGATTGGCAAACAAAATATTTGTTAAACAATTTTTTTTCTCTAATAAAGCAAACCTCATGGATAGTTGGATAAATCCATGCAAATATACATTAACAAGCACAGATTAATTTGGAAGCATTAATGGCTGGCTGGATAGATAACTTAATATCAGTTGTATATTATTATTATTATTATTATACAATTGTATCACAGCGGCCAGTTGTTTCGCCGGATTTGGCATTGGTTACTAGT